CCCAGGGCGCTTCCTCGCAGTCCCTCCCGAATTCCAAGTGTGTAAAAGAGACCGCAAACTGCTCCGGCTGCGATCTCGGTCCCCAGCAATGTCGCTGCATCGGCTGCAATAAACTCTTGTAAAAATGCTCCACGGTTTGGACATTTCTTACATTGGCACTTTCCAAGTTTCCTCTTCCACACACTTCCCTACACTGGTGACCTTGAACCCCGGGGAGACATGGTGATTCCACCTGGGGGGGTTTTAACGACAACAGCCGAGCCCCTCCCTCAGAATTCCCATTCAACAGAAGAAGGGGGCAGCAAGGATTTTTACAAAAAATTGTTTAAGCTCCAAGGTAATTTTAATGTGTGGTCGGTCTGAGTTTTGAAGCACTGCATGCTTTCTGGCCAGTGCAGGCCAACAAATGACACCCAAATCCTCTGTCTTCCCCCACAGCCAGGCAGACAGGGTCCCAGCAGAAGGCAGCCAACCATTTCGTCCACTCAGGAGGAGGCTGGGCAGGGGCTCTGTCCAGGAAAGTAAGCCTGAGTGGCTCTTACTGGCTCCCACAGGTTGTTACATAGTAACGCGCAGCTCTGACACTGGAAGCTTGAGGTGGGCCACAGTGGAAGATATTTACACCTGGTAATTGGCAGACGCTACAATCAAGGCTCTTGGCTTTCCCCCCAGAAAGCAGGTTTCTCTGCCATGGCTCATGGTGGGCTCAGGACCTGCTACCTTGGAGAAGCTAGAAATGGAAATCTTTGTCTTCCATTCTGGCCTGTAGACTTGAGGAGGCTTCCAAGTTCCGAAGTGAGGGGTCAGGCTTTTCCTAAACTGCACAGACCCCTAGGGCAAGGGGGAACAGGGACAGAGAGGAAAGGATGATGTGTAAGAATCCGGAACCACAAAATCGATTTTGCAGGAAGTATCCTCTTCGATCCGTTCTGAAGAGCTGGGCTCACCGGCTTCAGCAGAATTCCAGGACACCGGTTTTTATCAAGTCGATGAGAACAATCTCCCAGTACCTCATCATTTCTGAGATTGTGGCGGGGAAGGTGGAAACCTTATCTTATATTTACTGAACCGCCTTTCCATAGTTTTAATCTCATTCCAGTGACCTCATCTGCCCAGAATACCTTCCCTGGTGCATGGTGCTGGGTTATCTCCACTTCAAAACCGCAGTCTTCCCAATAAATCCACTTTCACCCTGCAGACTGGACGAGGGTACCAGCCCCTGGGAACAAAGGTCCATACCAGCTGGCTTCCCTTCAGGCTAAAAAGATTTCACGGATTTTAAAGATTTCTGATGCTTTTTAATCATGGTGTAGGGAGGCAGGCACGCTTCCAGCTTCCTGCCTGGATGCTACCAAAATTTGAGCGGGCCGGCCATTTGTTTAACTTCTGTTCCCTAGGAGACGTCAGGGCAGAGACCAAGGTGGGCACAGGCAGCTCCAGGTTCGAGTCCCAGGGCAAGCACTTAGTGGTTGAACTGTCACGTTGGAGAAGCAACTTAAATTCTCACAGTTTTGGTGAGGATTTTAAAGTGCGCACTCAGGGCCTGGTACGTGGTAAGCGCTCAGCAGGTGCCCCCTGCTTCTTCCCCCTGGAAACACCCCAAATCTTCATTTACATTCGGCTCAGCCCACCATTCTCTCCCTTCAACCTGCAGGCGCCTACTACTGGTTCCAGAAGGTCTTTGCTCGCCTGGTGGCCCCAAGCCTGCGTCCACTGTATGGGACCCCGCCATTCCCTCCCTGAAACACACTCAATGTCCCAAACAGCGCCTGCATCCTCCTATCTTCTCCTAAAGGCTGAAGATCAGCATCCTTCCGATGGGCTGCTGGTCCTGCCGCATCAGGTGCTGTTGTGAACGGCATGGGGACGCCCTCAGGCCCAGGGAAGATCCTGAGTAAGTAGCTGGATTGTTCCTCGGGTGTGCGGGGGCTTGAATTACTGTTCTGTCTCTCCTCCAGAGGGTAGTGGCAGAACCTGGGGCTTCTATTGTGCCAACAGCCAAGGAACCAGGAGGCCTGGCTCCGGCAGCGGAGCGTAAACCCGGACGGGCCGGAGCCAGGCCGGCCTGCACACTGTCCGCAAAGTCCATTTCCCAGCTGGGCCACCTCTCCCCAATCCCTGGTGGTCGGGCAGCGCCCTGCGAACAAAGACGTCCTAGTGCCCATCGTCCGGGCCCAAGGGAATAAAATATCCCGGGGCCTGACTCCAGTTCTCAGAAGAAAAACAGCAACGCGGCCCAATTCAGGTGTCAAATTTGAAAATAACAAAGCTGAGGGAAACCCACGTGGCTGGCCCGAGGCCCACTGGCTAAAACAGCCTCTTCTACTCCGTCAAAACAAGGCTAGCACCTCGAACAGGGAGACTGAGAGGCTTGCCCTGAGCCCGGGTGAGGTCACCAGGGGTGAACGGCAGGCTCTTCCGCTAGTTTGAGTCCAGGGCTCCCTAAGAAGCTGGCGGGAGGCGGGGCTCCCTCCCCAGCAGGCTCCTACACCTCACTGGCCGGGATCCAAGCCTTAAAACCCCACTGCCATTAGCATATCTTATTATCAGGCTAGGAACCCACATTAGAATAAGAAAGAAGTCTGCCCCAGCAGCCCGCAGGAAAACAGTTTCTGGAGGCCGGGAACCAGCAAGTTCACAAACAACAGCGCAGGGGAAAATGCAGCCAGAGGCCCCCTCCTCCCTACACTGGGCGTAGGAAGAGCACGTTACCACACAATGAGCCCGCCAAGGCCCTTATCAGCAACCCGTCCAGCCCCTGGGCGCTTCCGGAAACCCCCTAGGTCTGGGCTGGGGTCGGCTACTGGACCTTGGGCAGATCAAAGTGTCGGTGGGAGCAGCAGTAAAAAACTGAAACTATCAGATGACAAACCAGAGCAGAGAGAGGGAGCGGTGAGGTTCCAAGAAAGCAGATCTTCCCCCATCGGTTTCGGTTCTGGGGGACAAAAGACAACCTGTGCGGAGGGCCCCCCCCCCCCACTCCTGGCCTTTCAGAGCTGAAATTAACTAATGGGCTGAGTATCTTTTAATTGTTTTCGAAGGTCCGGGAGGTGTGCTGCCTCAGACTGGGACAACAGGAAAAACACTACGGCTCACAGAGGCTTCTCCTGGAGGCTGATCCCGGCCGGTCATTGTTCATTTAGTAAACAAGTGAGCCAGAAAGCAGACCCTGGGAAGCCAGGTTTGTGCGCTATGTCCCTCTCGCAGAACTCACTGTTCCCTCTGGGGTCAGTGTGGCCTCAGTGTGGCCTCGGCAGTCCAGGCCTGTGCAACTCGGGTCCTGTGTTAATATCGGTGCCCTCTGACCCCCTCCCCCTTTGCCCAGATGCGGGAGGCAGAGTGGAGGAGGGTTGGGGCACCTGTCTATGTCCACAGCCCCCAGTTTCTGGGGGACTTGGCCTGGACAGGCTGTTCTGAGCAGGGGACCAGGACTGGCCCCCAGGCTCCCCCAGACATTCCTGGAGTCGGTCTCCGGGTCAGGGTGGCCAGGTGGGAGGCAGCCTGTTTTGTTTGGTGATGACAAAAACACGGAACAGCAAGCACAGTGCTCCCTAGTCCCTCAAAGTACAGCCGCTGTCCACCCAAGGACAGCCATACGCTTTGCAAACCACCCATTAATTTTTATGGTGGCCTGAAAAGCAGATTGAGAATCATTACCTTCATTTTTACAAGGCAAGGGGCCAAAACCACAGGGGAGGGTGGAGAGGCACGGGGCCAGTCCTGCCTGAGCCAGTGTCCACGCTGACCGCTCCCCCCTCTCTCCACCTCGCGCCCACTGGAAAGGGGGCTGGCACCTGCCGAGAGGAAAAACAGGCCCCAGAAACCCAAACTCTTGTGCTCGGACATGATCCCATTTTGATGGGTGGGGAGGGGAGAGTGGCATGAAGAGATTACTTTTGCTTTAGGCTAGAGGCTCTGGTCGCCACTTAACAAATTTGCAAGCGTGGGACCCCAAGAAAGATGAGTAAATATTAAAGGCCTAGGGATTGCAGGATCAGTGATGGCTGATTTCTGTTTTATATGTCTCTACTTCCACGTTTTCCACACGAAGCATAGATTATTGTTTCGGTGATCAGAACAAAAGTTACACTAACTTATTACTACTGATAAGCAGAGAGCACCAGGCTGCTGCCCTAACTTGAAAAGAATTGCCCCAATAAAAGCCTGCCCAGTGTGCGGGTAGAGACCCGAGAGCCGGCTGCTCCTTGGCCAACCGACACCCCGGGGAAGGGCCAGGGCGGCCGGACCCCAGGTTGCAGGGCCAGCCCCCGGTGGGAGCCACAGGACCCCAAGGCTGGGACCCTACTGACCACTGACCGCGCCTCGGAGTGGGCTTCCGGGGAAACACCCCTTAAAGACCAAAGTGCCTCTCGCCGCTGTCCCCACCCGCCGGCCGCCGGCGCTGTCACCTCGCGGCTGCTCGGTCACTGCAAGACTAAGCCATAAACCCAGGTTTTCATTTCCGTCCAAAAAAGAGGGATCTCCTAAACCGAAATATGCACTGTCACCAACAAGTTTAACCCGGGACCACGCGCCCTTCCCTCCACCCCGGGGCCGCGCGAGGGGGCGCCCCGGACCCTCCAGCCCTCAGGGCGCCCCACGGCCTCGGGAGGCGAGTGATCTTCCCCCATATTCGTGCCCTGTTGTCGATGTGGGCCACCCCACACGGCCGCCCCGGGAAGCGCCAGGGCCAGGAGAGCGGGGATCTGCCGGGCTCAGGCAAGGGCTCTGGGTACGGCTCGGCACCGGAACCCCTACCCGCCCGCCTGCGCCGGTGACCGGGGAGACTGGGGAAGTCGCAAGGGGCGCGCGAGGCTTCCAGAAGCCCCCGGACGCCAGCCGCGCCGAGGCACCCGGGACCCTGAACTCAAAGGCGGCGGGGGAACGATCGGCGTTTGAAAGGTGCCAAGCCCGCCGAGCCCTAGCAGGCACCGCGCGAGCGAGGCCGGGCACCAGGCTGGAGCGCTCGCAGGGGACCGGCCGGCGCGCCGACTACCTACCTGGCTCGCATCGCGTCTCACCGGCTCCTGCGACTCTCCTCTCGGTCTGGGAACTCTCCCGACCGGGGACGCGCGCGGCTCCGCGGGGATCACCGCGCGGTGGCGGCGGCGAGGGGCCGGGACGCCGAGAGTGCCCAGAGCGCTCGGGCCCCGCCTCGGCGGGTGGAAGGAGGTCCCCTCGTTGGGGCGGTGTTCGGGGGCGGAGGCAGAGCTCGCTAGGCGGTGACCCAAGCGGGAATCGCGGGAGCCAGCGGCAGGGGTGGTCTCCGCGCCTGGGCGGCGTCTAAGGGGCGGGACCGAGCGGTGGCCTCGCTGGAGAAGGGTGTGGACGAAGCGGAGCGGGGGGCGGGGCGATCGCAGAGGGGCGGGCGGAGCGGAGGCTGCCCCGGGGCCGGGGGCGGGGTCGAGCTGCGGTCTCCCGGAGGCCGGAGGCGGGCCGTGTTACCAGGAGCGAGGCTGTGGCACTTTGCCGCGGAGGGTGGGGGGGTGGGGAGGCGGTTGGCGCTGGGTCTCCGGAGTCCCGCGGGATCCCGCCTCGGCGCCACATTCTTTTCCCTTCCCGGCACCGGCCAGGGAGCGGACGCAGGGCGTCCCCGGGATCCTGGTCCCTGGTACCGGGCGCGTCTAGATGCGGCTGTTTCGTGGAGACCGTTTGGCCGAGCTCCTGTGCCTATGGCATCCCCATCCCCATCCCCTCTCCTCTTCTCTGGGGTCCCTGGGTGAGGTTCGGATCCCCGAGCGGACGTCAGCCAGGCCCCGGAGGGTAGAATCTAATTAAAAGAGCTCTTAAAACACCCTTGTGGAGAACCCTGGAAGGCAAACGCAAAGTTAAAAAGTCAGAACAAGAAAAAAGGCAGACACACTGAAAATTACAAAGGAGAAGTTCCTGCTAAGCAAGATGCAGATGGCATACCTCGCCTCACGGCCTTTTACATTTGATATGGCCTGTGCCCCACTGGGTCCCTGCCAAGAGCTTGCCTAGCACGTAGTAGTCACTCAATAAATGCTCGGTAAATGAATTCACTCATTGTGTGGTAAGCACTTTCCATGGATGGGCCCACTTTATCCTCACCAAATCCCACACTTGGCTAGTCCCAATAGTCCGTTTCACACGGGAGTAGATTCAAGCTTGGAGGGCTGGGTTTGAGCTAGCAGAGCCGTGGTCAGAATTTGACCCCAGGCCACCCCCAGGCTGGGCTCTAACCACAGCATACTGAGTGTCCTCCCAGCCCCCACCCGGCAGGACTGTGACCACCCTGCTAGGCAGAAACCAGTAGGAAGTGCAGGTCTTCAGGGGAAAGAAAAGATAAGCCATTTCCTGTCCAGAGCTAGTTGCCCTTTGAGCCCTTCCTCACCTTACCCCTCAAGGCAGATACTGTTATTCACATTTGACACATGACTTTAGACCTCGGGTACTGTATCAGGACCGCAGGGGACGCGGGAATCTAAATTCGAACCCACATTTCAGGCTCCCTCTGCCGGGGAGACGGACCTCCCTTTGCCCAGGGCACCTGGCTCCTGCCTCTGGAACTGAAGTCCGTGGGATTTTCAGGAGACACAGGGACTAGGAGGGTGGGCACCGGTGTTCTGATGTTGGTGCTACTGACGTGTGGACCTTTGAGTTCCTGAAAATGGATGAAATTAGCGCTGCTGCCCTAAAAATAAAAGGGTTTTTCGAAGTGAGAGGCAACAAGCCTGTCTTTGGGATCAATGAGAATAGCTGTTTGGGGCCTGTCTGCTTCCGATGGAAGATGAGGGGTGTTCAGGAAAAATGGAAGGGGGGACAGTTCCATCTGTTGGGGGGGCATTTCCAGGGGTGCACGTAACATTACATGGCGATGTTAATTCTCAACATTTAAAAAAAAATTGTCAGTCCAGCAGCCATCAGTCCCGGAGTCGTGACAGCTACTCCCTTTGCATCTTCGCCAACAATTCATGGGGACGTGGTGTTGCTTCCGGCCCCACGCAGAGGTTATTTGGCCCTGTTTTCGCATCCACAGATTTGAGACGTGAGACAGGCAAGGCCGTTCCCCTGTCCTGGTGGCTCCGTTCCATTTCACGGTGGCTCTGGCTCCATTATTTGGACAGCACTCAGATGAATGGTGCAGATTTTTAAGGGAGGGGCAGGTAGAGAAGCATCAGGGAGGAGGAGGGTGTCCAGGGACATGTGGAGGCTTGGGGGTCCTCGGTGGCACAGGGACACGTGAGGAACACTGAGGGGGGAGCCCTCTTGCCCCTCTGTGACTCAGTGTCCGACGGGAGGGTGAGAAATGAATGTGTCATGCCCAGCGCTGAGCAGAGGGCCGGGTGCAGACTGGCGTTCAATAAGTGTGAGCTGCTCACATTGCTGCTGCTTCAAATGACCAACATCCTCACTGTGTAATTTTTAAGAAATGCCAATAAAGCATTGCAGAAGATAAGCCGGTAGAAAGTGGACAAAGGGTTGGAAAAGCAATCCCCAGAAGCACCACGCAGGGCCCAACGCACAAGCGGCACCACTGCTCCTGCTGCAGAGAGCAAGGGCACAGCACAAAACCAGTCCAATAAAGACAGGGCGCCGTGCGGGGAAAGCTGCGTCCTCAGAGAGACTGAGGAAGCGTCGTGAAAATCACAAAGAGCCAAGTGCAGGAACCAACAAATACACGGAGCTGCTGCCGGGTTTGAAGGGGCAGGTGGGGGGTGGGAGGTGGGCAGAGAGCATGCCTTGTGACACCCACAGTCTTTGAACAATGCCAGGTATGGCGGTGGCCTGAGCCCTCCTCCCAGCACAGGGAGTTATGGAGGTCAGAGTGTTTAAAGACAGCAGCAAAAAAGGGCACAGACCTCTACTCATTCTCTTGCTAGGACAGCTCGGTGACACCGGGGGCTGGTGAGACTGGGAGACACCTGGCCCATTGAGGTGCAAGTCGTTCATGGTTGTTCACAGACTGTTCTGCCTTCCGTGCCCTGGAAGGCAGGGGGGCCCCCGACGCTGCCCCTGCTGAATTTCCCTTTCTCGTAGTCCCACCAGTTTTTATCACTTCCCTTCCAAAGACAGAAGAGAAAAAAATATGTGCCGCTCAGAACATGCAGTTACTCAGGACGCAGGCCTGCTGGCAACACGCACAGCAAACCCAGTCACTTGGTGTTTTAGGCACGAAAATAATGCAGGTTCGTTTCAAACGATTCAAACGGTGAGAAAAATGTGTAGAGGAACAAGCAAGCGTCAACCCATTTCATACCCTCTCACAAGACTTTGTGCCTAACAGTATGTCGTCTGTCTACCTGAAACCTTTTTCTTAGCATTTATGGTTAGTGTGTGTGGGCATGTATACAGGATACATGTGTGTGGCATGAGTGTGTATATACACACATACATACATACACATGCACAGATCAGTAGAGAAAGACAGAGCGTGGGGGCTGAAACGAGGCTGCTGGGTGCGAGCCCAGCTCCCATTAGAGGCTGGGTGCTTGCTCACCTGGAGATGGGCGCAGTATTCGCAGGGATGGAATGACATAACACGTGCAGATTGCTCAGTGTGGGCTGAGCACTCAGCACAGACAGTGTGTATAAATACGAACTGTCGTCATTATTATTTATATACACGCACACTGATAAGTTACTCTTTGCCTCACGTAAGACACAAGAGAACGGTCCTTGCTGTAAATGAGCTATACACCAACATGCCTTTCAAAAGCCACTGAAGCCGGCAAGAGGCTGAGCACGCGGCCGGAGGGAAAAAGGTTGGTGAGGCCACTGAAGAGCGTGGACTGCAGACGTTGCGGGTTTCACTGGCCCCATCTCGCCACCGGCGTGGGTTCCTCTCCAGTGGCCCTACTCCACACATACAGAAGAGTGACGCTTTCAGAAGTCCCCTGCGCTCAGGAAGTAAGACGACAGGGAAGTCAGAGGAAGGGGGGGTGGGTTTGGACTGCCAACTTGTTACCTCTGTTATAAAAATCAGCGGTGTTGAAGTTTAATCCACACCACTCATGATTCATTCTAGAGGCTTCTCAAAATAGACACAACACTCCCAGAAATAGCAGCTCGAACAGGAATAAGTCTCCACGGACCGTATACTATCCAAAGCTGCTAATGTGTTATAGCATTTTGGACACCTACAAGATACATTTCACGTCAGGGAGTAACTACTCAGAAACCTCATGCGGGCTTCACATAAAGGGATCTGCAAGGGCATTCTCAGCAAACAAGTAAAAAGAAAAGTGTTCCTTTGGTCAAGTGAAATCAGTAACGGCCGAAACTCGCACGTCAGGGGGAGACCAGAAGAAGACATAAATCACGGCTCAGAGAGAAGGGAGAGCTAAGTTTGGGCCAAAGAAGCAGATGGGCTGGATCATCTGTGAAGCCGTCCCCAGCCCCAGGATTCCAGATCCACCGATTCGTGTAACACATCCTACGTCAGAGCTGGTAGGGGCTGCGCCGTGTCCCCACGATTCCTGTGTCGGAGCCCTGGCCCCCAGTGGGACTGCACTTGGAGGCAGGCCTTTGGAGAGGTGCTTAAGGTTAAATGAGGTCATAAGGAGGGGCCCTCATCCAGTGGGATTGGCACCCTTATAACGCCAGAGAGCTCTCTCTGCACCAACAGGGGGCGGGCCATGTGGGGGCGCGGTGGGAGGATGCTGTCTGCAGTCTGCAAGCCAGGAAGAGAGCTCGCTCCAGAAACCGAGCATCCTGGTGCCTTGGTCTTGGACTTGCCACCTCTGGAACTGTGGGAAAACCCATGTGTGTTGCTCCGACCCCCCCGGTCTGTGGCAGCCCTAGAACATGTCTACATGTCTGGCAGTGTCGAAGCCCCAAGAAATAGAGGCTCCCGCAGAATCTAAAACCGGGCGGGGACCAGACATCAACTGAGCCTGTAAAAAAGTCCAGATTGGTCATTTTCCTTGTGACTTCCCACAGACTTGACGGCCACCTCGAAAGATGCCTGTCCCGGGCTCCGAGGAAGGCAGAGCCGTGCAGGAGGGGAGCCATGGCCATAAACAGGTGCCCTGGGCTGCAGGCTCACTCCAGCGAGAGGTGGGCCACACCTGGAAAGGTGTGCCCGACTGGAGGAAGACCTCCTTGCAGGCTTATTTTTCATGCCCAGGTGGTTCTAAAAGGGTCTATACAGTTACTAGCCATGAAGCCATTATAGGATAAACAGATGTTTAAGGGTCTTATAAAATGAATTAGAGATGGAAAGAATTTTGTTTTGTTTTTTTATCTTGGCCAAACTGGACCCATCGGAGTGCCACAGACCTGGGCTCT